TAATCGCCCTCCTCGGGAGTTACGCACTTTAGCCAGGGAGACAGGTACGACCTCCTGTAGAGGGTCCCCCCGGCGTAGGCGTACCTAGCAGCCCTGAGCTGGAGTCGGCGAGTCTCGGTCTTGTTCACTGGGAGGGCACCCGAACTGAGGAAGTCCACGAGGGGAGTCATCCAAGTGGCCGAGCTGTCTATAGCCAGAACCTGGACCTGGCCAATGCTCTTTTGCTTAACTACCTCCACTAAGACTTCCATGCTCAGGTGGGCAAATGAGGAGGACGCCAGTTTCGACAGAGCGTCCGCTCGCTTGTTTTGTGACCTTAGCACCCGCTTGATTTCAAAGAGGTCGAACAGCTTTATCGCCTCCTGCACCTTAGCCAAATATCTTTTCATGACATCCTCCTTGGCCTCGTACTCCCTGCGGACTTGGTAGACCACGAGTTGAGAATCGCTCCGGACTCTGATCGCGGTTATACCCATCTGGTGGGCTACCGCAATCCTGTCAATAGCGCCTCGTACTCAGCCTCATTGTTGGACGCCGGGAAGTTAAATCTGAGAGCGTAGGTCAGTTCCTCCCCGGTGGGTGAGGTGAGCAGCAAGCCAGCTCCGCTCCCTTCCTTACTTGAGGCCCCGTCTACGAATAGTACCCACGACTCTTCCGGCCGCGCCTCCTCGAGCAAAGAGTTCGGTTCGGTCACAGACAGATTGGCTCCCTCGGCGAGAAAGTCTGCCAGGGCCTGAGCCTTGATAGCGGTGCGAGACTGATAGCCGATATCGTGTTCTGCCAGTTCGACGGCCCATTTGGTCATTCTGCCCGAGACCTCGGATTTTGTGAGTATCTGCCGTAAGGGTTGATCTGTCAGGACGGTAATGCCGTGGGGCTGAAAGTAAGGTCGGAGCTTCCGGGCGGCGTGCACCAAGGCGAGTACCAATTTTTCCGCCGGCGTGTACCGCGTCTCCGGCCCTTGTAAAGCTCAGCTAACGTAGTATATTGGCCGTTGAACCCCCTTGTCTTCCCGCACTAAAACCGCGCTAACGGCCTCGGTGCAAGCAGACAAGTATAGGAACAGGGTTTCTCCCTGCTCCAGGGCAGTCAGAGCAGGCAGCTCAGCCAAGTATGCTTTGAGATCAGTAAAGGCTGTCTGGCACCCCTCCGTCCATTGGAAGTCCTTTGGTGCTTTCAGGATACGAAAGAAGGGCAGCCCCCTTACCGCGGAGCGCGAGAGGAATCTGTTCAGGGCGGCCATCCTTCCCGTGAGCCGCTGGACCTCCTTGACGCTCCTCGGGGGGGGCCATGTCCATGATGGCCTGGAGCTTATCCGGGTTGGCCCGGATCCCCTCTCGGGAGACCAGGAAGACCAAAAACTTTCCTAACCTAACCCCAAAAGTACATTTCTTTGGGTTCAGCCGCATCCGGTTTTCCCATAGAATGTTCAGGATTTCCCTAAGGTCGAGGACGAGCTGCCGATCAGTTCGACCCTTGACGATCATATCATCCACGTAGACCTCCATACTCTTACCGATCTGATTCTGGAACAGTTTATTTACCAGATGTTGGTAGGTAGCTCCGGCGTTCTTTAGCCCAAACGGCATGGTCTGGTAGCAGTAAGTTCCTTCCTCGGTAATGAAGGAGGTCTTCTCCCGGTCTTCTTCGGCCATCTCTATCTGGTGGTATCCTTTGAAAGCATCCAGGAAACACAAAACGTTAAAACCAACAGTAGAGTCTACTAACCTGTCGATCCTCGGCAAGGGGAAGCAGTCCTTCGGGCAGGCTTTGTTGTGGTCTGTAAAGTCCACGCACATCCTCCAGGACTGGTCCTCATTCTTCACCAAGACGGGGTTGGCTAACCAGGTCGGGTAGTACACCTCCAGGATGATTTTGGATTCCAACAACTTGCCGACCTCCTTCCTGATCACCTCATTTCTCTCCGGGGCGAAACTCCTCTTCTTCTGCTTCACTGGCTTGAAGCGGGGGTCTACGTTGAGGTGGTGGACAGCCAGATCAATCGGAATCCCAGGCATGTCCTCTACCGTCCACGCGAAGACCTGGGCGTACTCCCTTAGTAGGGTCTTCAAGCCCTCCTTCTCTTCGGGTGGCAGCACCGCACCGACACGGAGGACCTGGTCAGGCCTGTCCTCTCTCAGTGGGAAATCCTCGATCTCGTCCTGGGTGCCCAGATGCGGGGTTTCCTCCCCCGGGATGTAATGCTCCAAACTGGTCGTCTGGGCGACCACCTTCTCGTGTCCCCGGAGCACGGCCAGGTAGCAAGCTTTGGCCACCTCTGGATCCCCATGCACCTCAGCTATTCCTTCCGAGGTGGGGAATTTGACGCTAAGGTGGAGAGACGAGGGGATAGCTCGGAGGGCATTCAAGGCGGGCCGTCCCAAGAACACGTTTTATGGGGATTGTTGTTTGACCACCATAAAGTTGACGGGGATGGTCCGGCATTTGGGCGCCTGCCCTACCGTAACCATCAGGGTGATCATCCCCTCCGAAGTGATAGGCGGTCCGGTGAAACCCACCAGGGGTGTCCAAACCGGGGTAAGCTGTCCGTCCTCCAGGTCGAGCTCCTTGAACACCCGGTAAAACAGAATGTCCACCGCGCTCCCCTGGTCGATGTACACTTTCTTCACCCGATAGTAATTGGTTACGACGTCTATCACGATGGACTCGTGGTTTCCAGACGTCAGGGGAACCGCATCCCTTGGTCCGAAGGTGATCTCTTCGTCCATACGCAGGCGCTTCAAGGAGTCATCCCCCTCCGGAGGAGGTCGCCTGTTCTTCCGGGCTGCATGGCTGTCCCCTCCCGTGGGGCCCCCAGCGATGGTGTTTATTACCTTTGCCAAATTCTGGGTGTCTTGGTCGGGGGAGTGGGCCCGAGGGACGTCACGCCGCTCAGGGCGGTCGCGACGCGGGCCCTCGCCCCTGTCCCCGCGGTAGGTGCGTCCCGGTTCCTGGCCTGGTCGACCTTGCTGCATGAATCGCCCCAGGAAGCCGCGCTGGATCAGATCCTCTATCTCTTTTCGCAGGGCCCAGCACCCCTCTGTATCATGCCCAACATCACGGTGGAAGGCACAGTACCGGTTCTGGTTCCTCTTGTTCCGGGGTGTCCCCATCTTAGGTGGCCGCCCCACTAGGCCCTCCGCCTCCATAATGGCCAGAACTTGTTCTCGAGCGAGTGCTTTATCCTTCGAGAGCCGGTCGAACACATTCTTCTTGGCCGGGCCGTCCTTATTCTCAGACGGGTTTACCCGTCCTCTCCGATCTCCGAACTCCCGATCTGACTCCCTCTTCAGGCGTGCAGCCTCCTCCGCATTAGCGGCTGCGTGCGCCCTAGTCAATAGCTCTTCCAGGTCTCCGAAAGGCTTCTCGGCGAGCTTGAGAAAGAGTTCTTCCACCCTGAACCCGTTCATGAAGGCGGTCATGACCACCTTTTCATCCTTGTCCCTGATTTGCAAGCTCTCCGTGTTGAAGCGGGTCATGAAGTTCCTCAGGGACTCGTCCGGCTTCTGCCTGATTGCCATCAGATGAGTCGCATTTTTCGAGTAAGTCTTCAAGGAGACAAACTGGGCGGCGAACTGCCTGGCCAGCTCGGGAAAACTCCGGATGGACCCCAGCGCCAGACCTTGGAACCAGAGCCGGGCCTTCCCCTTCAGGAACATGGGGAAGGTTTTGCAGCGTAGCCCATCCACAGCGGTTTGCAGGCGCATATGCGTCAGGAAGACCGAAAGGTGATCTACCGGGTCGGTCGAGCCGTCGTACAGTTTGATGTTCGGGATCTTGAACCTCCGGGTTAGTGGGTAGTCCTCTATCTCCCGGGTAAAGGGCGAGCTGGTGTAGTTGTCCTCGTACAACTGCGGCCGCAAGATCTGCTCAAGCTCGTCCCGGACAGGCTTCCACTGGGGGTGGTCCCGCGGCCGGCTCTTGAAAGATCGGGTGGGGGAGCGCTCAGGCTCCTTCCGCGCAAGCTTCCACGAGGAGAGATTCCTTGGTCGGCCCCCAGCGGACCGGTCGCGAGAGTACCCCTCGCTATCTCCGACCACCGAGACCCGCGGCCGAGGGGAAGTTCGTGGCCGTTTCCTCCTGGGGGGCTGGTCCCGTGACTCATCCTCCGAGGGAGCGGGAGGTGATTCCCTCTCCTTCCCCTTCGCCTTGGAGGTTTGGGCGCCCCCGGTTTCACCCCCCTCCTTCGCTTGCCGAATTATGTCTTTTAGCATGGGAAGGTTCTCCGTCACGAACTGAAAAATCTGCTGCCTCCGTTCCCCCGAAAGGGCTGAGCCCCCGGCGCCCCGAGCCGCCTCGGTCTCCACTCGCCGGGACCCCTCGCCGGCTCCGGGTTCGGTGTTCTCCACAGTTCGCTTTGAACGCGTTCTCGCCATCAACACAACTACTCGTACCTTCGTTCTCACAGACGGCGCCAACTGAAGAAGCACGGAACTTCCCCGGACCGAGCTGACCTGATGAGCTCGGCGTGCTGGCGAGAAGAGCGCGTCCTAAGCCTGAAAAGCGAACTAGAAAGTGATCCAATGGGGGAGCCCCGAGGTCGTCCCCGAGGGCACTCCGACGGTCAAGTTAGTTTTCCGGTGAGTGAGATCCACGGGAAGTAAAAATGGTCGGGAGTAATTGTCCAATAGTGAGCGTACCTTGTGCAGTTGATGTGTGTTACCATTTATACCTGCTTGGGAGTCCGACCTCCGTACGTTTTGGGACCTGCCCAGAATAGCCTCAATCCCGCACTGAGGGGGATCAATCCTGACCTATGCAGGATTGTCCCCTGGAGCCCCTTGGAGCCCTAGCGGCGGAGGGCCGCGGGACGGTTCCCGTGGGCCCGGGGCCTAAGTCCAGCTCAGGCCTCCCTGGGCTGCCACGTGTATAGGCCCAGGACGGGGCCTCTGCAGCTACGGGGGGGATTAATGAAGGAATCAGGAAAAGGAAAGCCGTCGCGATTCATGTAACTATTGACTTTTGAGGAAGAAGATAACCAAACAAGAAAAAAGAAAAACCTTGTGATCTACGAGCTCGAGAAGCTCCAAGGAGATGTCGCAGAACTTGCGGCAGACAGGTTCAATGGCTGTTCTGACAGTTGCTTCCACAATTTTAACGCCCGGTTTCAAAGGACCGAAGCTTTCTTTCGCATAGTTGTAGAGTGATGAGAAGGAAACGATCATGTAGAATGCTCCAACTTGGATGAAATCAAGATACTTGAGCTCCTTCTTCTCGCCTCCTCCCTCAACCTTAACGAATTCGATTCACAGAATTAGCATGTCAAGGACTTGGATATGATTTGCAGGGGAAAGAAGTTTAAAATAAATAAATAAAAGGACATGCATAAGGCCAATAGCTTGCCTAGTTTGGGAGTTTAGAAAAGAAAAGAAAATGACTGAAGTGATAGGTTGCAATTTTATTATTTATTTTATTATTAATTTTTTTTATTATCGGATCCGATGTGGATTAATTATTAGATTCTACTCACTTTTCGTAATTTACAATTATTTCAGGGAGTAGAATAAAAATACCATAACAAGTGCCAATTTGACGGTCATCAAAAAAGAATTCAAGTAGCAGGTATTCAGGGATATTTTTGAAATATAAAGATGCGAACCCTTCTTGATAATTGGCAAAAGATAGCATTAAAAAGAATGGGGGCTGGAGTCTTCTTGGACTGGGCGGCGGATGCCGCACAGTAACAGTAGGAACTAGATATTAGATAGCTTTCCTTTGACTTTTCTTCTTCATATGTTAGTGGGGCTCTTGGTAGTTTGTTCCCTCGCATGTCAGGAGCTTTTGAAGAATTGAATCGTTCACTGTAGTTTCTCGTTTTTCTTTCATTCATTCGGCCGAATTGAATTCGCACGGGCAAGGACGATGGCCGCAGTTGTTGTTTCACTTTTGCGTGGGTCCTTCTTGTCAGGGATGAACTAAATCTCCTTTTTTAGTCAAGAAACAATGGAGACTTTGATTTACCTAAAAATTGTGAGATCGATTTAATTTTATCCTTTCCTTTTATTCATTAATATTCGCATATTCTTTGATTACAGTGCTTATGGTTGTCTAATTAATTGATTGTCTTGGGTCCGGATAATTAGTTAATTTGGTAATCTATTGTCAATTGGGGCGTTAAATCCGTAATTGTTTAATTGCCCTAAAATAGTGACAACTGGCATGATTGGGTTTGTGTCAGGGGAATACGCGGGCTAACCTAAAATAACCCTGGTAGTGTGTTATTTGGTTAGAATAGGGCTCTTCTAATACGTAAGGCAATTGGAGAATTAAATCTTATGGGCGTACCTAGGATTATTTCTCAATTACAGTAGTGATTAACGTGCGTACCTTAATCACTGACACAATGAGGAGGGGTTGACTGCCATCACTTGTTTGGTAGTTATAACCTATTTATTGATAAATAATTGGAATTGCCTTTGTTTCGATGATCAATTAGGTGAACTATTGCTGAAGTTATTTCTTGGCTAGATCCTTAATTATCACCCATTTGATTTTAGTAATTTGTTATTTAATTTTTAGTAGTTTCTTAGATTTTATTTGAATTTCTTTGATTGTCACCTTCTGCACAAAAACACCCCCTTTATTACTGTGAATTTGAAAAGAAACAGTTACACCCAATCCCTGTGGATTCGACCCTGCTTACCGCTATCTACAGAAGTTACTTTTAGTTTGAGCAGGTTTTATTATTACACAGGCTGACAACCTGTCATGAAGCCTTAAGCTAGAAAAGAAAAGAATAGAATAGAAAAGATTGGAATATCTTTCCATATGTTATTTGGGAGTTTTGGGGGAGAAAGGGAATGAAGTAGTTTTTCGCAACGGATCTTCTGTCCCACACCTTGTGCTACTCTCTATCCCACTTTTTGAATTTTTGAATTTGTTAAATTTTGTGTATTACTCAATTAATAGTTATTGAATTTTAAGGAAAAAAAAAGAACTAAAACATGATATTTATGTAGGCGAAATAGTAATATAATAAAAAGTGGGATAGAGAATGGCACAGAGCGTGAGACAGAAGATCCGTTGCGAAAATCACTTTGTTTGGAAGTGGAGAAAAGTGAAAAGAAAAATCTTGTTTTACATAGAGGCCCTTAAATCTTAAATTTAAGATCCGTTATGGTTATATTATAATCTTTTTAAAGATAAAAATAGTATATGCAATAATTCACTTAACCAACTCCACTTTCTCACATTTCCAGCCCAATTTTGGGCAGGAAGTTTTTCTAACTTGGAAGGGACCTGACGCCCTTCCTTTTGTATTCAATTCTTTCCTATCCAAAGTTTCAAACGTCAGAAAAATTCAACTTTTTTAATAATCTTTTCCTTTTACACAAAATCTGCTCTCTATAGTGATAACTGACAAGACATCCACGCACATGACAAGGAAAAAAAAAAGATTAGATGTATTCTTTTGCAATTTTCACGAAATCTTGACAAGCCTATACGCTGCCAAAGTGCCAATAAGCTAGAAAGAGTTTACCAGCACAGAGAAAAATATATCAAGAAAGTGGCTAGAAGATGAAGGAAGGAGGTCGAGTGGTCATGCTCACCGACGCCGTCGGCTGTTTGACTTCATCCGATTCCGCCAGAATCTCCCTTTGAAGAAATTGAGAATGATAATTAGAGAGAAGAAGAGGAACACACGAGAGACATGTTACCTACCAGTAATATGCAAAGTGCAATTGCTAAAAGTGAAACAAATACACTGAATTCGATACAATGTGCCTCATGTTGTATGTGAACGGAATCAAATGTTAGTAACCACCGCCCCTTTTATGACGGTGGTGGTTCCCAATATTGTCCGTGTGACTCCCGAGCGCTGAGCAGTAAGAAATCTATAAAAATGGAGACAGGTGAAATAAATAAACTGGATTCGATACAATGTGCCATACATTTTTTTTAATTGAGGGAAATGTGCCTCACGTTTTATGTGAACGGAATCAAATGTTAGTTATTATCCCAAAAAAAAAAAGAACCAAATGTTAAGCACCTAAATTTAATGGATTAAGATTTTAACATATTCAGATCGTTTGATAATAAAAAATTGAATATTTGAATTAATTAAATAGCATTGAATTTCGTACGCAAAATTTATTTCCAAAATTAAGTGATAAACTATTCATTTATCACTAATTGTAATATGTATTCAAATATATTAAATTTAATATTCAACAATTCAATAAATTAATGAATTTAGATTTCAGCTTTCAAATTTCAAACATTAATTTTATCAAAAGCACCTAATAACCATTGGCCCCTTATATTAATGTGGTTCCCAATATTGTCCACGTGACTGCTGAGCAGTAAGAAATCTATAAAAATGGCTTAGGTTAGGCTCTACATTATTGTTCCTCGCGTGAGTGACAAAAAATTGTTGTTTCCTTTTTCTTCTTTTTTTGGAAATTAATTATATCGATCATTGCTATTTTTTGAAATTTTTATAAAAAATATATTATAATAATTTAATACATGTAATATAAAAATATGACTGATAAATATATTCATGAAAAACATAAAAAAAATTTTAAAGAAAAAGGGCAATACAAACAAGTTCCGCTCACCTTTTTTTTTCACAAAATTACTCTCTTTTGACCAAAAAGTATTAAAAATTGAAATATAACTCACCCAATACTTACACATGAGAAATTTTATCATGGATTAACAACTTGGCAAAATTTAGAAAGCTTTAGTGGTTCCTCTTTATGTATAAATTTTAAAACTTACACAAATTGTTGCTAATAGAATCAGTACGGCAAGTTTCAAGATTTTGTCAATGTTTTTAAACTCGGACCGGTCAGTGAACCGGAGAGGTGGCCGGTTCGCGGTCCGACCGGTCCAACCGGCCGGTTCAAAGGTTCACTGCTTTTTTTTTTTTTTTTTTTTGTGTTAAGTACTAAGCAGGTTTCATTCTACACTTGAACTTTACCAACATAACTTAATTTAAGTTATGATAATAATAAATTTTCTAAAAGTTATACACAAAACATGGAATGATAAATATAATTAAAATATCATAATTCACCACAAGTTTTCATAAATTCATTATAAACATAAATAGATACAATCCAAATGTGCACCAATTATCACAAATAAAAACACAAAAAATAAATTAATTAAATATTGAAATTCTTTTACAACCCTTAAAAAAATCCATAAAAGAGTTCAAGTTAAGACAAACTATTTGAATAGCAAACTTTTATCAGTGGCATGATAAGCAACCACACCACCTTCACAATTTCATCAACTTAAGCTGAAAAAGTTAAAATTTTATTATAAAAATATAAATCTAATTGCTCAAACTAAAAAAAACTAAAAATTTTTGAAAAACAAATATATAGTTAAACACATAAAAATTAATTGCTACTAAACATTACTAATTAACATGTTATATTAAATTCAATGATCCTATACCATTAATTATTTTAAATTCAATTATCAATAGCTTCGATTATGTGCCAACTACCATATTTTTTACCAACCCAATGTTATTATTTGTAATTCCTACCCAATTCCTACACGGATGTGCACTACTTTTGCAAAAATTTCATCCTTAATTAATCGAATAAAAATAAAACAAAAATGAGGGAAACATATGAAAATTGAGGGGAAAAAGAATAAAATGCAAAAAATCAACTAAAGATAATAATATAGAAAAAAACCTTGAAAAGAAAAAAATTAAATTTACTAAAATGTTGGAAAACAAGAAAAGTTGAAATTTTCAACTTGTTTACAATCTGCTAAAGATAATAACCAGATAATAATGGTGAAGACTTGAGAAAATCTTGTTGTGGATATTTCGGTTAAAAATGGTTAAGAAGACAAAATTGAAAAAAAAAATAAGAGAAGAACATGATGTTTTAATATATTTTTTAGTCAAGTAGAATTCTCAACAAACTTAAGTACAGTCTAGCGGTAAGATTGTCATATTTAAACTTGGAGACCCAGGTTCGAATCTTAGCTACACCATTCTTGATATTTTGTTGAAGAATTTAAAAAACCGCCGGTTCACGGTTCTTAACGGTTCGTCCGGTTCGTCCGAGTTTCAACGGTTCTCCATGAACTTCCGCCTTTAGCATTAGACCGGACCGGTGACATGGCCGGTTCGCGGTCCAACCGGTCGAACCGGCCGGTCCGGTCCGGTTCTGAAAACATTGGATTTGGTTGGAAAGCATTTTCATTAATCAAAAATTAATTATTGAGTTTGGAAGTAATTGGTCTAGACCCAAAGAAAAATTTTGACTTATGCACCATTCCAAGTTCCAACACATCACTCGGTTAATTACTTTTGGCACGACTCTCAAAGCCACGTTCTAGTAGGTAACACCCACAATTAAGTACTCCAAATTCTTAACGGTTTGCAAAATAACACCTCTTTTCTTACCCTTAATGCCTGGTGTACTAATTTACTACCCTCCGGGGCAAAAAGAAGAAGGTTTACAGGCTTTGGTAGACACCGCTAGTTTTCCACGCGCGGATTTGTAGAAGTTCCGTTAAGCGTTGGGTGGGCGGCAAACGGGCAAAGTATGGGCGGATGCGAACC